CGAGTATTCCTTCAGTAGTCTTATTAGGAATTGAATGGAAAAATCGCAATAATAGATGCTTTCTGAAAAATTTATTTTTAGTCTTAAAGCACAAAAAAAACGGGAAAAACACGCTCTTAATTTTATTACTTTATAAATACGAAGAGTGACTGAGTTTGGTTGAATAGCTTACGTTAATATTATTGAGGATACTTCCATTTTATATGAAAGTGTATGTATTGGTTAGGGTCTTTTTTTGGCTCATCCGGCCTTGATGACTCGAGTCTGACATTAGGCTTTATTAATCTCTCGGATTTAGAACCAGTATCGCATATAGACGTAAACACACACTCATATGACAGGGAACTACCCAAATAATTCTAAGTCTATCTATGTCCATAAATTTTCCTTTTTAATTTCGAGTAAATATAAGACATATGCTAAAGGCGGACGGACTTATTCACCAAGTGTTAACTTGAAACGTTCGCAAGAATATATCCCAGCTCTGATGATGCCCATCATATGATTGATTAAAGCTTAACCCATTTTTGCTCAAAACTAGGGAGGATGCCTCTTGGACTGCGTCAAATTGAACGTCTTATTTAAGCCAGACGGCAGCAGTATAACGGGAATCATTCGTCGTTTTCTGGTGAGATCGGCCTACGAATCTCTTTGTACTGCTTAATGTTCTCTCTGTTACGAACACCATGCATTCGAGTCCTTGGCATATAACCCTTTACATCAATGCCATCATGAACTTCTATGTGTTTGTAACACTTTTTGAGCTCTGTCAAGTGATCTTAGGTTTAAACTTGCTCTTATTTTAAATAGCGTACTTGACTATCCGTTCAGGAATGTCAGCTTGAGTGTAGCAATATACAAAGACACTAGTTCATTTGCCTGATTTATTACTTGGATTGCCACAGAAGAAGACCTTCAGTCCGAAAATCTCTTTATCCACTTTTTTAAATGCCCACATCATATTTTAACTTATACTACCTTTTATCTATATTTGATGTGATCATTCACAAATGCAATTAAATCATTATGCTTATTGTCTACTTGTAATCAGCACTTGTAAACAAGGGCAATGTGCTATTTCGACAGGGTCATTTCGATCGGGCCATCGACAGCTTTCGTGAGGCTCTTCAGGCTGATGCCTCGTGTGTCGAAGCGATTTACAACCTCGGCCTTACCTATAAACACTTGGGCCGTTCCGAGGAGGCATTAGACGCCTTCTTCAAGCTGCATGCAGTATTGCGAAACAGCGCTCCAGTAATCTATCAACTAATGGATATATACGAAAAAATGGGAGAGATGACACAAGCTCAAGAGTGGTGAGAAGAGAGAATAATAAGTATTTTAATTTGCCCATAATGCGGTACTTGAGAATATTTGCTTTAAACCGATTGGCTCAACAGTTGAATTATAGAGAATTAGGAGCAAAATAAAATAAAACACTCTGTGAGGCGTACAAGACTCCTTGATTATTGGTACACTCATTAAATTGGATTCACTTACCTTCCATGCTTTATCTTGCCAAAACGATTATAACGGTTGATTGATGTCAAAGTAATCTATATTTTATTATTTCGCTGACTACAGGTACAAGAATTATCCAATGATATTTATACGTTTTCCATACTATAGGTTTCTTATTAATAATGAATAGTTTTTTAAAGAGATTTCCTGTAGTTAGTGCTGCTTAACTCTTAGTATAGACAAATTTTATATCTAAGTGAATGGAAAATACTAATAAAATTATGTCAGAAATTAAATAATAGCTTTATACTATTTTATATATAGCATTTGTCTACTCTTTTCAATGTGAATTACTGAATCACATTATGAAAACGGCGAAATTCTTAATTTCATACAAAGAATAAGAATCATGTGCTTGAAAATTTCTTCAGGTTTTTGCAGTTGCATGGCCTGGTGCCCTCTGATCCATTTTTACTGCAACGGATTGGTGATGCCTTTGAACGAGAAGGTGACAAATCTCAGTCTTTTTCATACTATTACGACGTGAGTTCGAATAAAGAGAAAGGAATCGTTTATGCATTGCAAATTTCTATAGCTTCTTTCTTAAGAAATGTTTTATTTTGTATATAACAGAAAATCGTATTCTAGGGGAAATATTCCTTCCCCTAATGCCTCATAATGCCTTTATTAAAATTCTACCTTATCCATTATTTCGTATGACTGCTTAGGCTATTTTATTGTTTATTTTGAGCCTAATATGCTCTCCATGGGGCTGGATACTGAGTTTGGATTGTGATAAATGGGCGAGTTATCGAAATGTCTCTGCTGAAATAGTTTTACTCTTGCATAGAAATAAGATTATAGCTTAGTAATCTGGTTGAATTTACACTACATTATTGTAATACCTCTCATTTTGTTTTTTAACTACACTGTATATAATTTGGTTAGCTCATGATAATATTCGTGTACAGGATGTTTTCTTAGCCAGTATCTCAATACAATTCTTTCAAGTACAGTTGCGATTTTCCTCTAAAGGCAAAATAATTATATATTTGAGATTTAATCAGCCTATTGCATTTAAAGCGATAAAGGGACTTGTAGTTTACTTTCCCCACAATGATATGAGTATATCTTATGCTTCCATTGAACTTCTTACAGCCTTGCTTCTCAAGAGGTATTCTCATCCAAAGTGGACTGCACTTTCGACCTTGCCTAAGTCTTACCAACAACCCTAGCCGGACTCGAACCGTGACAGT